GTTAACTCGGTGCTCTGCTCGGCATAATTCCTACATAACTCGTAACCAACTCCATAAAGTCGTACGTCACTCGTAGCTAACACGTAATAAGCTCGTATAGGTCCTTTCCAAAGATCACGAGTTTTAACTCGTAGAAACCATACGACTCTTAGGTGAAATAAACCTAGGTGGGAGAGGGGCTTTAACCATTATGCCACGACCTGCCTCATTTTTGTTTTAGCATGCATCACATGGAACATTCTTGTGTGAATTTGGTATAAAAGCATGAAACAGTTTGGAATAGAAGTGTGTAAGAAGGTAGAGATAAACTGTCTATTAAATTGCAGTAAGATAATATTGTGTTGTCTTGTTTTTTTTAGTGTGTAGAACTTAGTCTGGAACATATGGAATTGTTTCTTCTCTATCGAACTCAATCAATTGTCTCCGAGATATGGGATGTAAATGTAAGTAATTTTTTATTATTATTTTTATTATGAATATCCTTAAGAATAATTGTCTATGACATGCCCATATTCTATGTCATAATTTTGGTAATGTGCGGTCGTTTGAAAATGTAAACATTTAGCGATTGCCATTCTGGGATAGAATGTGCATCTACTTTGTCTGGACCCCACCCCCTGATATAATTATAGAATGTAGTAAACACACAGCTTTGCATGGCATGTCCAATGATTATCAGTTACCATATATTGAAACATAGATTTGGATATAACTGTTAACAAAAGAATTCTGTTTTCTTAGAAGAGTAACACTTTATGGAACTCACTGCCCAAAAAAAGCTGTTACTTTCTACACAATTGATTAGTTCAATATCACTCCCTTGGTAACCTCTAGGTTCGCTAGTTGAGGGTCATGTTAGCTTTGTTTTTTAGGATATAGATTATGTTTTGTTCCTGGATTGAGCATTTCCAGTAAGAGTACTATATAATAGGCACCATATGACTTAAAACTATTCTTCAGATTGGAAGCCTCACAGAGTTCACTTTTTGCTATTGAAATACAGGTAATTCATATTTATCAATTTTTTTTTAAACCTTTGCTTGATTTTCAGGTTACTTTAGAAGATGTTCGTAGTCCTGAGAAGCAGAGCCAATTATTCCTATCACTGCTTGAGAAATGTGGTAACTTCAACCATCTTCAAAATTTATCCAGCCTCCTACATCAGTGGCCAACCAATGGTGACCATCAGAAAAGGTAGGTCACCATTCTTAATGTACAGTATGTCCACATACCAATTTAGGTACACCTGATTCATCCTGCTATAAAAAAGGTAAACATCCTGAATTTTTCATCCTGTGATTAGCTATTATGATTCGTTTTAAAGTGGGTGCTTGTTTATAAAATATTCCAGGGATGACAGTTCCATTAATTTTTTAGGGGTGTCTAAATCATTGACTCCCAACATTACTATTTGTATTTCTTTTGTTTCTAGGGAAGAGCTTTGGTTGAGTTTGCTGTTAAGTATGATTGAGCATGCTCAGGGGTCACATGACATCCAGGAGCTAATTAACACATTCAGAAAACTGCAGAGTATCCAATCATCACAATTGGAGGTAACGTTCTCAATTTTTATGGTGTTGCACTCAGTAAACTGTTAAAGGTGATGATAATGGTTATGATGGTGATATTTGAAATAATGTATAATTCATTAACTTATTTAATTAAAAAAGCCTTTTAAAAATTTGTTCACAGTTTGTTGAGAGAATTTACCAAGAGCTTGCAGATCGACATTACAATTTAGCCTGCCTGAAGGTGGCGCTGTTGACGAGTCATGGAGTTGTTCATCGGAAGGCTTTTGAGTTCATGAGTGGAATTGATGAGGTCAGTCTAAATATTTCCTCTGTTCCAATTCACCACGAAAAAATGTATAATATTGAGTCACTCATTTAAAATGATGAAATAATTTATCAAGATCAAATTAGACACAGATTGATACTGTAGGTTTCCCTCCAATTAAAGACCACTTTTGGACCTGGGTTTCCATGGTTTTTAGCAGCTTTGGACTCTAATTAGAATAATAAAAATGACATTTGTTAATTTGGGACCATAGAAAAGTGGTCTTTAATTAGAGGTGGTCTTTAATTGGAGGGGTCTTTGAGTGAGACCTATATTTGGTTATTGGTGACATTATGGACTTTTTACTACAGAAACCCATAAATTGATTACCAGGCAATTTAAAAAATTGATTTCAAATATTTCATTTTACTTTACCTTTTGATGTGATTTTTCACTCTTTTCATCCATCTTATTCAGTTTATTTGTTCTACTACAGCTAACTGATGACATCTATGATGATGAATTACTGGAACTTTTAATTGCCTGCGACAAAGTTGCATCGTTTGTCAACACTAAGTTCTA